AGGGGCGCCCCCCACACGCCTCAAGTAGCTGCAAACTGTCTGGCTGATAGACACACTCATGCAGCATGAGCACATCTACCAGCCAGGCAGTTTGCAACTACAAACTGATACGCCTAATAATAATAAAACTTACCAAATGAGAAAAATACCAGACATTTTATATGTCTGGTATTTTCTCAATTCATTTCCTGGACAGAAGCCGGGGCGCCCCCCACACGCCTCAAGTAGCTGCAAACTGTCTGGCTGATAGACACACTCATGCAGCATGAGCACATCTACCAGCCAGGCAGTTTGCAACTACAAACTGATACGCCTAATAATAATAAAACTTACCAAATGAGAAAAATACCAGACATTTTATATGTCTGGTATTTTCTCAATTCATTTCCTGGACAGAAGCCTCAAATACCAGACTATCCGGTACAAAACTGGACACCTGGCAACATTACCCCTCCTTGCACCCTCCCTCCTAGTCAGATACCCTACCTCCAGTCTGTTCCTGCCTCGCCCGGAGTGCCTGTGCGGTGCTGGGTCCCCAAGCCCTGGCCCGGGCTGGGTGGAGGATGCAGCTGGGAGAAACAGTGAAAATTTATTCATTTTTCATTCGTTTTTTAATGTGTTTATATTTTTCGGCTGCAAAATTCGGTACTGAAAAAAAACTGGGTTCCAACTAAAGTAAAAAGTTTGGGAAACCCTGGCCTAGCCAGCTTTCTATCCATCTTACAGTCCATTTATCCAACCCATATTCCTTTAGCTTGATGGCAAGAATATTGTGGGTGACCATATCAAAAGCTTTGCTAAAGCTGGCACTGGGGGCTTTGGGAGGACCAGAAACAACATATTTGAATATTCATCAGTTGCTTAATGAATATGCAAATGAATGTTACTGGTCCTCCAAAAGCTCGTGAATGGATTTACTGGTCCCTGTGTCAAAAAGTCGGGAACTCCTGAACTAGAGTAATGATACTTGATGCTGTAAAAGGTGAGGTGTGCCTAGTGTAGTCCCCAAAGGACCAGTGTTGGACCTAGTTTTATTTAACATATTTGTTAATGACGTAGAAGTAGTAGTAAACGGCACATTAAATTCAAGATAATGTTAAATTGGAAGGCATTGCTACTCAGAGTTATGCAAAGGAATCTGGAGAAAATTCCTATTGGCAGAAAATAAGTGACATTAATACCAAATAAATGCAGTCCATTTGGCTTCTTTAGAGAAGTACTGTCTTTTCAATGCCTCAAATATACAACACATCTGAGTTTCTTTTAGTTTGGAAATACTATTCTGAACATGCATGACTATAGTCATAAAATCCATGTCTATTGATAATGGTGATGATCATCCTTGCCACATTTATTTAGTACATAGACCTCTCGTCTCAAAGCTTTAGGTTTAAAGTTTCTAAGCACAGTCCTGACTATAGTGCTGTTTCTGCAACCCTTACTCTGTTGCTGCTGCTTAGTTGCATCTCTTGTTATAACTATGCCCTCTTGGGCATGTGAGCTACTCATACTATAACCATTTATTGTGTCTTGTACGTATCTATTTACATCATCTCTAAGTCTGGTGGACACCAAATTTTATTTTTCTCAGCAAACTGACCAGATTGTTTCAGTTACCAAAAAAAAAAAAAAAAATGCTGTAAAGGTACTTCTATGGAGACTGAAGACCAGTTGTATCATGAGTGAGCTGATTGTTGAGGGAACAATAAGACCCTCCTTCAGCACCACAGAGACATTTACTACTAAATAACCACTTCAAATTCCTCAGATCTACAGGGACCTTATACTTGATAGTCATTGTCCATCATAGCCCTATTTTAAATAAATGTTATCTTTGTCCAGTTCTAATATTAATCTAAGTAATTACAATTAATCTCAATTAGTACTCTTAAAGGGTTGTTCAGTTATTCTATTAAGCCCATCCCTCTTCAATGAGGTTCACTCACATGGAACAGCCTGAATTGATATTGAGAGCTCAGTTATACTGCCATCAGTCTGTCACCTTTCTTGAGGGTG